TTCAAAGGCTGTTTTCTTGTATTTGCGTCAGTGTTGATCGTATACTTGCACATAAAGCACTACATTGGACACTGATGTGTCACTCCATACACTGCCACCTTCTGGTTGTTTAATGTTACTATAGATGTATGATGTGTTTCATTGTAATCATTGTTATTTCAGGTGACTATGTCATGAAGCTCATTAAGAGAAGGCCGAGGGTTTGCAGTGCTGCCAGCAAAGTAAAGGGTGGCTGCTATAAGGACTGACTGTAATGCTCATATCAGCTGTTGAAATCTAAAGTTGACATTGCTGGATTATATTGAACTTCGTGATGGTCACTGGTGGAATTAACACTTTATTTGCATCACATACACACTCACTCAACTCACAGGAGAAATATTACTTATAGCTGTAAAGAACATTTACTTATGATTACTGCAAAGGGTGATAAAACAATGCAGTGAAAACAGGAAGAAGTCAAAATGTTTAAAACAGCCTTCTTGGTAGTCACTGGTTAAGGAATTACCATCACTGTTTATCTTGCAAAGGCGCAAGCTGCAGGAGCTGGTGTGCCTTCAACAAAGCTGTCTTCATCCAGCAGTGCAGCTTCTAGTATATTAGTTTCAGGTTGCCATTATAAGACACACAAACAAACAGCAGGGATGAGTGGGGTGGCGGCATAAATACCCAGAGGTGAACAGAATAAAAAGTTGGGAAAGGAACAGAATAAAATGTAACAGAAAAGAAGAGATCAAAGCAGAAAAGAACACAGAGGGGTGGCTCTTATAAGAGCCTTTGGGTTCACTTTAAAAAAAAATGATTCTGTAGGTGGTGATAAGGTAGTAAAAGGGTTGGTGAGAAGAGCTGCAAAGTAAAAGATTTATAAAACCATTAAATAGAATCTCATAACTCGGCTACTGTAAAAATCTGAACTTCAAAATGTCACGAGGTGCTGTATGAAGTTAGAGTTAGGACACAAATGCATGATTTGGGAGCAGGACTAATCTTAAAGGCAGTGTGATTGTGATTCTGCTTTCAACCAGAGAAATGCCTTCTGGATAAAAGTTTTATGGTCAGACGAGACAAAAATACAATGCCAGCTGTCAAGCATGGTGACGGGAGCATCATGTTCTGGGGTTATTTTGTTGCCAGTAGTACTGATATGTTGCACTGGGTGGATGAGATAATGAAGAAGTAGAGCTTCATCTGAAATCAGATGCTACATGGTTAATACTTGGACACAGCTGTGTGTTCCAGCAGGGCGATCATCTCAAACACAAATGACAAAAATAGGAAT